AATTTTGTGTGTAGGGCCATCCAAATGGTAGAACATTCTACCGAAGACTCATCGACCTCCTCTGCCAAGGTAAGCAACCTTTCCATCATGTTCGAATCACAGAATGGGTAAAACAGGATCTTCAAATGTCGCTTACATTTCTCACGAACTTTAACGGTGTATCAGTTTTTCAGGACAAGCTGTGGGTGGACAACTCTCACCTTCAGCTTTACACAGATGCATCAGGCAGCATGGGTTTTGGGGCCTACCTTCAGGGCAGAAGGTTCTGCGGTAGATGGCCTGACCAGTGGGACTACACTTGACATGACCTTTCTGGAGCTGTTTCCCATTGTCTGCGCCATTCAGCTATGGGGAACACAGCTGATGAGCAAGAAAATACTGTTCAACTGTGACAACCAGGCAGTGGTGGCAATCATCAACAAGGAATCAACCAAAGCCCCTCGGGTGATGAATCTTCTCCGCCGCCTTATCCTCCTTTGTCTTAACTACAACATTTTGTATAAGTCAAAATATTTTTTTAATTTGAAGTTCTGATTTGAAGTAAGATGTTTCTGAAGAGCAAGTTGTGCATTCATACACCCATGTTACCTCTCTTTTTGAGGAACTATTTTACTCTGCGATATAGCTGGTTGTTGTATGGCTGTCAGTGTAAACATGAAGTCACACGTACTAAATAAAATTGTGTTTAGATCTTGGCCTACATCCTTTGAGGTAAGAAATTGTGATAAAATTTTTATAAGAATTGACTTTCACTTTGTGTGAGTTCATTGGAGTATGAACCTTCCTAGAGTGAGGGCCAAACATTGTATGAACGTCGTTGCAAGCTGATTCCAATGTTATAGCCGATGCACTCTCGGGGTTTCATCTCAGTCGTTTCCGGGCAGTCTTCTTTATACGCTTCTAATAGATCTTGTCTGCTGTACCCATGTAGGCATCTTTCACAGAAATATTTCTTTCCCTTATATTTTGTTTGATCGTATAATAGCCTGTTTAAACTCTTTATCCATGTATAATGATAATTTCCATCTTTTTCGATCAGAAATAAATTGATTCTGGGAATATGTTCTGGAGCGGAGCTTATCTTGTGAACAACAATTCCTTTAGAATGTCCGAAAACATTTATAGCTAAATTATTTTGCTTTTCCGCCTTATCAATTTGTGATATTGGTGTAGGTTCGTCTCTGCCATCAAAGTTGAGTCCATCGTTTTGAGGATAGCTAGAAGGTCTATTTGCAATTTTAGAATCTACGGGGAACAATGCAGATCTTATCATCATTCTTAAACAGTCATTGGATTTATTTTTTACATTAATTATGGCTTTTTTCTTTTTATAATATGGGGGTAAATCTATATAAGATCCACCTTTACTAATTTGCTATATCTAAATATAAACTATCGATTTTATCCACACCCCAACCCGAACCTCTATTAGTCCAGCGTTCTAAAGTTTCTTGTATCCTCTGAATTGATGTATCTAATGATGTGTTTATAGTATCGGATTTGGTTATAACTTCTTGATTGCTACGGAAATAAGGTTCGGTATATTCAGTGCTATCGTCTGCGCTACTTTTACTCAATGACATTTTGTATATGTAAATCATGTAATTCCTTGTTAATTTTACTCTATACGATGGGCTTAACATCATTAACATCCATGTTGGAATTAATATCCATCTTCCAACCTCTTGGATACTTATCAACGCCGGCTGTGGGTACAAATTTTTACTTATTATTTTTTTTATCGGGTTGATTATTATCTAGTAACGCGATCAATTCAGCTTTTCTCATTCGAGAATAACCTCTCAGCCCACTGTTTTTTGCTTGAGCTTTAAGTTCTCTAACAGTCTGGGGTTTGTTGTATTCCAAACCGAGTAAATCGATCAATTCAGCTTTTCTCATTCAAGAACATCCACGTAGACCACGTTGTTTTGACAAAGCCTTCAACTCTCTGACAAAAACCATTGTGATTTAATGGTATATGCAAAATGAGTCAAATCTCTAAATGTTTGTTTTTCATATATCTAAATACATATTCTCCCCAACCTATTCCTCTCGTTGATGTAATCTCTCTTCCTAGCGTAAATAATCTGGTTCCTGACCCTATCAGCACCGTGTTTCTTACATAAACAATAACGACCTTTGACCCCTATCCCACATACAGATCATGTATAGTTAATGTTTCCCTGCCTGATGTAATAAGAGTGGATACCACAGTAAGTACCCACAGAACGTCGGTTGCATTGAATTGTTTTCCCATGAGTGTAAATCTGCACAGATTCATGGTTATACATCTATCATATCATTTGTCTAAATGCAAATCACATCTCCACTGGTGAGTCATAGTTGTCATCGCTATTTATAGATTAGTTGACACGTAATAGATCATAGCTTATGTAAAGCTAAAAATAGACAACAGTCAGCCAGACATAACTTAACAGCCAGTCAGCGCTATTTATAGATTAGCAGTCAGGGTGACATGGTTGATAAGAGTCACCCTGACTAGGTCATGGTTTATGCGTAGTTATTGTATAACTGAAAATTACAATGACTGTCAATCCCAAAGCTATAAATGCTATCTCTGTTTTTTTGTTCCTCTGATGGTGTATAAAACTGACTTATTGTTAGTGTCTGTACTGGGTCAAGTTTTTTTCCATAAACAAGGAAGTATTTGTGCATGGCAGATTCAACATCCTTAAACGTTTGAATTGAATGCCCTTGCTTACGCAGTTCTTCATTAATAAAATCTAATCTTAATATCCTATTTCTGGTCCATTGTGACTTGGCTGCTTCATGTTGTTCTAATGCTTTATTATGTCGTTTACGCTCCTCTTCAACTTCTTTAGCGTTTGATTCCCTCAGAGTAGAAAATAAATAATTACTCCCCGAAAAAGCTAGAGTATCAACAATAGCCCCACTGACCATCATCGCAATTGATGCCATGTTCGATAATATAAAATATTCAAATGTTTAATTACTTCATTATGTCTTCTGGGATAAGCCCTTGTTTGATGAGCATATTTTTTGTAGCCATAGCCAATCCAATATCAAGAATGATCATACCGATATCATAACCATTAAAATCTAGCTTTGGTGGTGTGGCTTTAGTAATCATTTTAGCTATACTGGCATAGCCAATGGCCAAGCCGCTGACCAACGCTGAATGATACGTTGTGTTTACCAACATTTTACCGTCTGTAACTGGAGTAGTCATGCTTCTTATAGCACTATATGGGGGCTAACCTCTAATTGAACTTGTTGTTGTGTAATCGGGGGTGACGTTTTCTCTTCTCCAGTCTTATAAAACAACCATACAGCCGCTATAGCAACAACACCTAGTGCATAGGAAGCCTAAGTTTTAATCGGACGACTGTGTTCAATATTTGAATTATGCATTAGTTTTCTAGCCTTCCACATTAACACACACTTTTTACCAGTGGCGATTTTTCTGGGGTTCTTAGTAACTCTTGCTTGTGATTTCGCAATTGCTGGTATTTCCTCATTCACTTGTTGTGATTGTGCAATCGGGGTTATTTCCTCGTTCACTTGTTGTTGCGTCTCCACAATCTGTGGTGTCACTTGAGTCTCCGTTATTATTAAGTGGGCACGTATGTTTAAATTGACAATACCTAGCCGTTATTAACGCGGTGGTCACCGGAGCTAAGAACATTCCGTATCTATGATAAAACTCACAGCTCACTGTGCTTATAGCTTGTTCGATGAATGGGTCTTTCTCAAGAGATTCGCATAAATACATGTGATGTTCTGCCGGGATAGGAAGAAACGTACGGGCTACGACTGTGTATAGTTGTAACATAGCCGACCCTATCGTTTTAGTCATGGTAGCTCCCAGTCTAGACTCGTAACGCGCGTACAGTTTTTTAATTTCTTCGTCGGTTATGTTATCAATTTTTTCGATGGTATAATTTTCTTACAAAAATTACAACAAAAAAAGGCCAGAAAAGATGCATCCGAGACCGCCTTAATCATTCCCCGCAAGGCACATTTTTACCTTCTCCGCAGGGTCTTAAGGACGTCTCTAGATATTCCCGGCAAATGTCTCCACACCATATCGGCAAACTACTCCAACTTGCAGCTTGCTGAGAAGTATCCAAGGCTTCCTTACAGTACCTACTGAAGTAGTCTCCGATACTTCCTCAGAATTAACCTTATATGGCCAATTAAATATGCTTTGAACCATCTCGGCAAACTCACTTAGGAAGCCCCTGATTATTCTCCACAAACGTGTGTGACATAATCAAAGATGTTTCTAATGCATCCCCACAACACTTGCAAGGAAGTCTCCGAAGCGTCTTCTCAAACCTATCAGGGGTAATTAAATATGCTTTGAACCATCCCGGGAAACCTTCTTAGGAAGTCCCCGAATAGTCTCCACAAACTATTATTAGGTAATCAAAGATGTTTCTGAAGCATCCCAGCAAAACTTGCAAGGAAGTCTCCGAAGCATCTTCGCAAACCTATCAGGGGTAATTAAATATGCTTTGAACCATCCCGGGGAAACCTTCTGAGGAAGTCCCCGAATAGTCTCCACAAACTATTATTAGGTAATCAAAGATGTTTCTGAAGCATCCCAGCAAAACTTGCAAGGAAGTCTCCAAAGCATCTTTGCAAACCTATCAGGGGTAATTAAATATGCTTTGAATCATCCCGGGAAACCTTCTGAGCAAGTCCCTGATAAGTCCCCACAAACTTGTGTTATGCAATCAAAGATGCTTCTAAAGCATCCCCGCAACACTTGCAAGGAAGTCTCTGAAGTGTCTTCACAAACCTGTCATGGGTAATTTAACATGCTTTGAACCATCCCGGCAAAGTTCTAAGGAAGTCTCCATAACAAAGATGTTTCAGAGACATTTTACCTTTCCATCATTTTCAGTAATACAAAAGATGTGCTTACATCATAATCTAGTCTTTCAACAGCATCCCAGAAGTGTCTGAAACATCCTTGCCAAACCTGTACTGTGAAAAATGAGATAACGAAGTTGTATAGTATTCTCTTTATTTGGAGTAATAACAGCAATAAAAAGTAGCCAGAGGTGGACATCATCAACAGAAGATATCATTATATGGTAGCCATCATATGAAAGTGGAAGTCATCATATGAAAGTGGAAGTCATCCTCGTCCTGGCAGGGGTCGTCATGGAAGCTGTCCTTCAAGAGGCTGAAATGGGATCAAATGTTATTGTATATCAGTGACATAATGAGTGAGTGAGTATGGTTTTACGCTGCTTTTGCGCAATGTTCCAGCAATATCACGGCGGGGGACACCAGAAATGGGCTTCACACATTGTACCCATGTCGGGAATCGAACCCGGGTCTTTGGCGTGACGAGCGAACACTTTAACCACTAGGCTACCGGACAGCCCCAATCAGTGCCATAAACTAATTACTTTATGTCAGACGTCAAGGAGACACATTAAAAACTATTACAAATATTACTTTTTTGGGGGCTACAAAATTACTGATGTTATGGTCAATGAAACAAACCATGACTCATTCACTTGAAGGCATTCCTAAGCGTGCAGATCTTCTTGCTCACCACAAAGTTCCAGTTGTTTTTTCTTTGCCGGTTTCAGAACTGATGAAAAAAATTACATGTTACACTGGATGATAAATCAAAGCTTCATAATTCATGATACAGTAAAAATAAATTGCAAACAAGATAAGAGCATTAAAATTGCACTCAGGTGAAATGGTTCCAGTCTGATGACTTAAAAGTTACAAAACCTACCACTTGTACCAAAACTAGATTTTAAATGATGTCAATTAGTTAACATCTTGTGATTAGATATTCACTTAATATTGATATGTCCATGTAAGTTGACCAAAGCATTACACATTCAAATGTCATTGTGTTCTAGAAAAATGTAAAAAATGGTTTTGACATTTACAAGTACTCATATTTGCTCAAAAGTTAAACACAGGAAGGATATTTAGATTGTAACACCTATTGATTCCTTACTATGATTCTGATATTAAATTATAAAAATTAAACCTTTACCTTACAAGTCTGTGTGTGCACTTTGTAAGTACCAGTTAGTTTCATAACTTATTTAGTTACAGTTCCATTACCTGAAATGAAATTTACCTGACACTTAACAAAGATACTGACCTTCGAGTACCACATCGGTGTCGGTAGCATCGTAAAAACACCAAGTTGCTGGCCACCAGGCAGCAACTGGCTTCTTCTCCTTGATCCCTTCTCATGATACAGGCACATCAGCAGGAGTTCACGTCTTCCTATGAAGTATCGTTCCTTTTTTGTCTTCAAAAATCACCACAAGGAAGGGGGCTGAAAAATTAAGTTGCATTCATTAATAACCTAAAACTTAAAGGCGGGTATTGCTGGTCACAAAACAAAGTTGACACTGGCAACTTTGCCAAAATTTCAACAACCTGGTGCCAGTCCAAAACGTAATTCTAGATCTATACCGCGATGGCGATGGAGCATGTCGACGGGGAAAACGATAAGACCACAACATTTACTGGGAACATATATCTATTTCAAACAAACGTTACAATACATGAGTTTCCCTTACTTACGAGTTCGTAAAAAAATATCAACCAACATCCTCGTTATAAAACAGCAGGTTACAAAATGGCGGCGATTTCCGTACTAATTAACATACAACAATGGACATTTGTTTGTAAAAAAAACCTAAGTTTTAATTTCAAATACAACTTAAGACAAATAGAGTTTAACATAATACAAATATATAATTTGTTATCTATTAATTCAATAATTTTATAAACTTATAACTACAGTCTGCGATCATATTTCACATTTCAGTGACCAGATACATAATTTGTTTTGAAAAAATACTATTTATCTCAGTCCCACATCGGTGCTCTCCGTAAATTTTACGGAGAACCACGATGTGATCGAAACATGAAATCTGAAAGGCCTGCGCAATATTACAAAATCACATCTGCGCCTATTATTTTTCATAAATAGTCCCAAATTAGATGAGTAAAGGGTCTAATATTCAAGTTTCTAACTGACTTATTTCAATTTGAGGTTCCAAATTAGAACATAAATTTACGATTTATAAATGGAGCTTGAAAAAAGATTTCTCTTTGAGCGAATGCTAAAACTAAGTTCAATATCTAAGTGAGAATTGGTTTGGATCGGGGGTCGTTTTGGTGGATTTATTTAGCATAATTGTTATGGAGACAATATAGAGGGCTATATTTTAAAAATATATTTATGTAACACAAACAGATCTAAAATGTACCTACCTTTTGTTCAGGAAGATATACGTTGTAATCCTTGCTGAACTCAAGAGTCGGCGTAGATTCTATCTCGATGAAGGTTTGGTGACTCTCTTTTTCAGCTGTTTTTGCTTCTCTTTCAAATTGTTATTTTTTATCGATAGATTAAAATATTATTCACTAGATCTATTTCCCCGCAATGTTATTGAAAATAGAATTCTTTATCTGTCAAAAAGGTGTCAAACTTAGATATAAGTTATCATTTCCATCTTTTCGTGCGATCGCGTGTGATGCGAGTCAAATGGCATCGCGGCTTTTAATAGTTTTATAGCCTCGATTTCTCCACAATGTTTAATGCCAAATATATGCAAGAAAAATCTTTGTCTCAGCTCGTAACCTGGCACGATACATCCACGAAGTTTCATATTTTTAATATAGATCGCGATTTCCTGCTTAAAACGTTCAGAACAACACGATTTAACAAAAACCTTTTGTCAAAGTCTGATATACACGAGTACCGTTGCTGTAATTGGTTGTATTAGGTCACGTGTTCAATTTGACCAATCACGAATCTTATAGCAGATTTCGGCAAGAAAGTGTCACCAGATACCAATAAAATAGCATGTTATAGTAATTTAAATACTCAAGGCGAGTTGACTGTCGTGTAGATGACAAAATAAGCGTTGAAGATAATGGTGTGTCACATGGTACGTGTTATTCATGCGAAGTTTCGAAAACGGAGATATTTCTTCATGCTACAGAGTGGACAGCCACTGTCATCGGGAAAATGATGACAGATATTATTAATAATTCTTTTGAAAATAATTTTCCGATTAGAGTCTAGATCTACGTAAACAATAAATATGAAAAACAACAACAACAACAATAAATAGGTAGATCCACGGACGTATATATACGTCTTTGGTAGATCTAAGTTCTGAAAATCGTCAAATTTTTGTTTCCTCTGTCCTCAATCTGGACGTTATGAATGTGTTAGCTTGGATTATTTTTATTTACAACACACTTAATTTAGTTGTGAATGCATCATTTAAATAATGTGATAAACATAACTTTCATTTTTTGGGGAGAGGGGGGGGGGAGAGAGGAGATGAAGAGGGACCACACCCAATGGACACAGAACAGCTACAATTAAAATATACCAGTTGTGAACAGAAGCTCATAAATCCTGAGACTATTATAACTGGTATTGCAGTACTTACTAAGTTTCAAAGGCAATGAGTAACTTGAGTGATGTGTTTGAATTTTCCGATTGATCATTCATTCTAAGTATAATTTAACTTGAATAAACACTATGACAGTCACTTGACTTGTATTTGAATTATGATTATAACCATTAAAACAGCCAATCATGTATTTCCTGGCACCCCTAAAAATGTAATGGCACACTTAATTTGGCATAATTGTGCCCATTGGCAAACTTGAAATAAATCTAATTTCGATCCCTGTCATGTATATCTTGAGCCACAAATCAGCCACTATGTCTACAAGTAATATTACTTTATGTTGCCTTTTCTTATATACCTTTTTCTGAGGAGACTGTTATATGGCACACGGACACTGTTACTTTCTGATTGGAATTTATGAATATATTGTACATTTCTTTTCTTTTTCTGATTATTGCATACTGACAATTCCTGCATTTGTTTTAACTGTATTTAATAGAAATATACCTCGAAGCATTAATTGTGTTGGTATTTAGTTATTAATGTCCTTGCTGACATATATAGGATTTCTAATTCATTGCATGTGAATGTATAAGATAAAGAGCTTTAGTATTATCCTTAAAGAAAATTCAAAATAAATAATAATGATCATGTCATCTCTTCCAAGCAAGGGACCTAGTTTTCCGAGATCTTGACTAAAGCTCAATGTATTGATCTGTATCAATTAAAAGAAAAGTCTTTGAAAGATATACACTTACAAAAGTCTTCATATAGTTTTGGCTAGTGAGGATGCATTCACATCATCATTGCAAACCGGTTATCAAGTTGCCTTGTGAGAAGTCTCTGAATAGTCTTTGCAAAGTTCTTTCGAAGATTTCCACAAGCAAAGAAGACTCCACAGTATCTTTTCAATTTTGTTTGTTTGTTAAGAAGTCTCCGAAAAGTCCCCACAAATGTTTTTGTGGGGTCTTCGTTAGTGAGAATGCACTCAATACATCCTTGCAAACAGTCAGCTATTTTATTGCCTTATGAGGAAGTCTCCGAATAGTCCTCACAAAGTCTTTGTGGGGTCTTTGCTAGCGAGGATGCACTGATACATCTTTGCAAACCTTCAGCTACTTTATGGCCCTTCTGAGGAAGTTTCGAATAGTCTTTGCAAAGTTGTTATGAAGGTCTTCGCTAGCGAAGACGTATCCGAGACATCTTAAGAGATCTCCTAAGACATCCCCTGCTAGTGGAGATGCACTAGAAACGTCTTCGGTAGGTTAATGCCTTTGTGGGGAAGTACTTGATTATTCCCCAGAATAGTTTTCGACGGGTCTCTGCAAAGTCTCGGCTAGCCGAGACCATAAAAATTGGCTAAAATCCTACAAAAGATGCATCGGGACGGTCTCGGGGCAGTCTCGGATACATCTTTTCTGGGTTTTTTTTTGGTAAGGGTATTGTTTTAGTCATGGTAGATCCCAGTCTAGACTTGTAACGTGCGTACAGTTTTTTAATTTCTTCATCGGTCATGTTATAAATTTTTTCGATGGTATAATTTTCCCCAAAATATTGGGATCATTTTCCACCGGCTGCCAAAGCCGCAAGTCTTTCTCTATGTTTATCTACATTTTCTTCTGTATGTTGATCTGGTTTTTTGAGCATTTGTACGATGAGTTCATCGCATTCCATAATGTAATACCTAAGGAGATATTTAGGTCTAACATAATAAAATATGGCATATCCAATACAACCAGTAATAAAAAACTGTTGTGAAAGAATGAGGATTTCAAACCACACTATTACATAATAACCGCTTATGTTCAATTTATTGTATTTTTGCTATCTTTTTGCTATTTTTGCTTTATTTTTGCTATAATTTTGCTATTTTTGCTATAATTTTGCTTAGCAGTTGCTATAATTTTGCCCAGCAGTTGCTATTTTTCCTATATATTTTTGCTTAGCAGTTGCTACTTTGCTATAATTTTGCTTAGCAGTTCCTATATTTACTATATTTTTGCTATAATTTTGCTTAGCAGTTGCTATATTTTTGCTAAGCAATTGCATAAGCAGCTGGTTGATCGGTTTTTAATACGAGTTTACAGTGCTTAGTTGCCGCTAACAGTTTTCTGACTTTATCTCGTTCGGACTTGGTATAAATAACATCATTTTCACGTAAACATTCCTCGAATGAATCTCGGTCTTTGCAATGAAACAGGGCTACCCATTTGGTCTGCTCTCTAAGATCTTTCAACACAGAGTTGTATTTTTGATTCAGTACCCAAACGCTATGTTGAGTATCTCGACCTGAGAATGCTAAATACGAAAGCATATCTTTCTTTTTGGTGAGTTCTTTACTCGCACTGCAATCGTCTATTATGAAAAGGCTTGATTTTCCTTTGTATTTTTGTGACATACTCGTAAACAGTCTTGTAAACGATCGCCTGGATCAACTTTGTACACCCCGGGATCATACATTACCCAATCTCTCGATAGGTATGTTTTATTAACGCTTATAGTCGGTCACAGAATAATAATAGGGTCGAAAACGTCCCAATAATGACTTTGTAAAATATCTAGAATAAAAGCTGTTTTTTCGCAACCCGTTTGCCCGCAGATGATAGCGCAGTGCAGTTCTTTAGGTAAAAGATTATTAACAGATTGCTTGCACGAATCGTCCATTCTGTATATTAAGTTGCGCATCCATAATCACGTACAATCATATGTTTAATTTACCAGCTGATTCCTGGAGCTTCGTTATCTGTATAGTGACACCCTCGCTGGCATTTTCTATTCTCCGCCCACGACCGTGTAGTTGGTCATCTTCCGTGGTTCGCATGTCGAGCCATAGCACATACTTCGTGGTGAGGTATTCACCCATCGATACATCCCCGAGAGACAGATCTTTCGCGACCGCGTTAACTTCTGGGCTTCGTTTTATAGAAGGGAGTTTTTTAATCTCATCCCATTGTTGATACGCTAGCATTCCTTGACTATATAGTTGATTAGGCACGCCCTCGATAGTCAATTCTACTTTTGTAATCTTGGGATTGTAGAACTACTCGGTATTTCTTTTAAATGCATCGGAGGGGTCCTCGAAAACATTAAAATAGCTAAACTTCCTGTATACTGGTTACGAATTTGTCTGGCTAATTCGGGATCTGTTATCATATCATACTCCAGTGAGATATTGTCAATGGAATAGCTAGCATCTTCAGCAGCTCTGATTACTCTACCGTAGTCATTAAAAGTGAGTTCGTATTCTAACCTATCGCCTAGGGATGCTTGATAGAAGGGCATGTGACTATCCAGTAATTCAAAGTAGAGCGGAATATAGAATCGGTTACCTAATGCGCCGGCAACAGCGAGATCTTTTACGACGGTATTATCACCATTATCAGCAACCACACGCAGTCTCAATGTCGGCAGAATTCAAACTAATCGTAAATGCTAGTCGGACAGTTCCCAGAACTAACACATCGTGTGCGCCGAAATTAGGAAAGCGAACCAGAAGAGTTTGATTCTGATCAATGGTACTCGGGTTATTATCCCCCGCCACAAAGTGGAAGGGGGATATAGAAATGGGTGCCGTCCAGCCGTCACATTTCGTTTCCGGAGCAGATCTTGAAAACCGTACCATATTTCTTCACCAAACTTGGCACATAGATACATCTAGTGGTGAACTGGTGCCTTTTGATAGTTTGGGATTTAAATTTTTTTTATTTTTCGAGTTTCCATGGCAACTACTTTGAATTAGGCTGAAAATGGCAGTAGTCGTCGTTTCCGGAGCAGATCTTGAAAACCGTACCATATTTCTTCACCATATTTTGCACATTGATAGGTCTAGTGGTGAACTATTGCCTTTGGATAGTTTTGGATTTTTTTTTAAAGTTATTTTTCGAGTTTCCATGGCAACAACTTTGATTTAGGCTGAAAATGGAGGTAGTCCTCGTTTCCGGAGCAGATCTTGAAAAACGTAGTATATTTCTTTACAAAAAGGCCCTGTGAACATAGTTCACAGGAGCTAATGCATTGCACACAC